CACAGCCTTGTAGCTTATATCGGCGCGCAGCGAAGCTGCGCGCCGATAGAACGCGTATATATAATACAAAACTTGCTGCACTTTTTTCGCCGTCTTTAATTAAATCAAATTAGCTATCTAAATTTCATATTTTCGTGACTTATTTTTGACCATTTTCGGTAGTAGTAGATGAGTGCGGGTTGTGTGACTTTTTTTGTAACATCTATATATAGACGATGCATTAAAATATTTATATACTAAACACATTAAAAAATTAACATTAATTTTAAAATAATTTATTTTTTTATCTTTTATAAAAGAAGCTATATATAGATGATGTCAGATATTCCGCGATTAATTAAACATTGTTTAAATCCTGAATGGGTTAAACTTCAATTTAAAAATGAAGATTGTGAATTATTAAATGAATATGAAAGCCAAAATAAGCTAATGAGGTATAAATATAATGATAAAGAATATTTAATTTCATGGAATCAATGGAGTCATAATCAAAGACCTCATAAACGAGAAGAAGAAATTGAAAATAATGAAATGGAAATCATTGATGACATTCAAGAGGATGGAATTCCTAAATTTTGTAGAAAAACCTTTAGGACTAAGTTAGGAGCATATAAACGTAGAGTATTAAATCCTGAATATCTTAAACATCAATTTAAAAAGGAAGACTGTGAATTATTAAACGCTAATGAATATGAAAATGCTAAATCAAAACTGAGATATAAATATATTGGAAGTGATGAAAGGTGTAAAGATAAAGATAAAGTTTATTCAGTTTCATATAATAACTGGCACACGTTAGGGATAAGAAAACATTTAGGAGATTATGGGAAATGTTCTGAATTCTTCAAATCTAGTATATACGAGAGAGTAAAAGAAATCAGATATAATTATCATTCATGAATGAAAAATAAACTTTAAAAATTCATGTCTTACATTTTTTGAATAATTTATTTTTTTAATTCGTATGAAAATGAGTGAATCAAAATTCGTGACTGTGAATCAATTAATGAATAAACTTTCACCAATTCTCACCCATGTTAAACAAGTAGACGTTTATTTCGATGATTATAGTAGAAAGTTTATATTTATAAAGGTAAGTTTAATATTAAACCTATTGCTTTTGCATTTGATGGTAAATTAATCGAAAATTCAAAAATTTGGGAATTAATTCCGGATATTGAATTTATAACAAATATTAAGGATAAGTGGTTTAAACAACAAAACCTTTTCACTAAAGTTCTTTGTAGATTAATGATTAAAACTGAGGAAAAAGAATTTAACGGATTTAAATATCATCCATGTAAAATTTTAGAACTTGGTAACGAAAAACTTCAGAAAAAATTAAACGAAAGACTATCAAAAGATAAAGTTGAAAGAGTAAATAAACTCACTAAAGGTAATGATGATGAAGATGAATTTGATGAGTTCAACATTGAACTTTAAGAAACTAATGATTATTTGAATTTATGAAATCAATTATTTGATTCATTCTTTCTTCAATAATTTCTATTCTTTTTGTTAAATCATCTATTTTCATTAATGAGGTGATTCTTGATTGAGGAATAGATTTTAAACTAACAACACCTTTTATTTTTGAAATTTTGAATCCATGACCCTCCGGGTCTTGGACTCTGTCCTCAACTTTAAACATTTTATTCAATTTACATGTTGTCAATTCTTCAAATAATTTTTTATTATTAGCATAATAGTCATTAAATTCTCAACAGATGAAAAAATTTTTATTTCAGTAATTGGTTTAACAACGTTTATTTTTTGTTGAACATTTTCACTTTCATTTATTTCTTCCTCCTCTGTTTCATTTATTTTTAAAATCGGTTTCATTTATCATTAAATAAAAAATTAGAATATAAGTGATGAAATATATTTTTTAATTAATATTAAATCAGAGATGGCGGCAGGATTCTTTAAAAAATTATGGGAAGGAATTAAGAAAGCTGCAAGTTGGGTTCATCAAAAGATTATTAAACCCGTTGCAAACTTTTTGGCACCAGTAGCGAAAACGGCAGGAACTATCATAGGAGGAGTATTAGGTGCTAAAGCAGGTAATCCGGCGATGGGAGCACAAGCAGGTAACGCAGTTGGTGGAATTGCTGAAGGAATACTTAATAAAATAGGGGGTTAGTGGAAAAATAAATAAATATTATTTTTATCTTAGTATCGGTTGTAGTCGATAAACCTTATCTCCTTTATTTAATACTTCCTTACCGGAACATTTGCTATTTGTTCAGCAACGTCACTAATTGCTTCTTTATTCTTAAATATCCAATTTGCTCCTTTCTTAATCCCTTCCCAAACTTTATGCGCTCCTCTTTTTACTTTATCCCACAGTTTCTTAAAGAATCCTGCAGCCATAGTTGATTATTTCATTAAAATTAAAAATTCATTTTCATCTTTTAATTTTGATTTTTTTTTAATAATAAATGACGACTAACTATTTAGTGCCAAACACTAAACCGATTAATGGAAATGTATTTCATTCATTCGAAAAGATAAATGAAATATTCGCAAAGAATGATGGAAGAAGATATTATAGAGAACTTGAAAGTTCATGCTATGACTCTGATGCTCCATATTTTGATGATAAACAAACTCATTTAAGAATTACAAATCCGGCTCATGATGTGAACCAATTAGGTGACACATATATTAAACGCAAAGTTAAAGCAACTCTAGTTTCAAATAAAGCTTTCACATGTGATGCCGCTTTTAAATGCATGCGTTTATTCGTTGGTTACAAATCATCAAATCAAAGCTTTAAGCAATTAGAAGTAGAAACCGAAAGAGGTGATGCTGGTTATCTTCAGATGGATTGCGCCCGTGAATCTTTCGCATTTGCAACATATAAACCAAAATCAGAAAGGAAAGTTAAAAAGTTTGTTCATTCGTTATATAATAATGTTCAAAAATATGATAACTCAGTATGTGGTAAATATATTGACCCTTCAGAAGTTTTCAAGAAAGCAAATGAAGAAGTTGATGTCACTTTTGATATGATTATTCCGGTAAATGATTTGTTAGCATTTCAGGCGTTCGATGATTATCCTAAATCATTTGGTGAAATCATTCTTAAATATTATGTTTTCAGGGATACTTTAGTATTTTGTCAGGTTGACCCGTTAAGAGTTGCTGATTTACAAAATTACGTTTATGAAAAGATAACTGATGAAAATTATGAAAAGATTATGAATCATGTTTATAAATATGATCGCAAATTCCAACAAATCGGACTTCCTGCCAAATTAATTACAAGCTTAGCCGCTACATCTGCTGACGCAACAGTTGAAGACGTTATTATTTCATGCACAAAGATGGAAGTTTTAGAGGATAAATGCATTACACCAGGATACGGTTTAATTGAAGAATCAGTTAAAGCAATACCACGTTTATTTAGTAAGGAAGATCCATTCATGATTCCAGCTCAACATATTGACGTTCGTTCACTAAATGGAGGTTGCATCACTCCTGAAGGTATTAGCTCAGATTTCTCATACGCTCTTCATAATGTTACAGATGTTGTGTTTTTCCGAAGAATGCAATGCAAAGAACGGTTTTAGAAAATCCAATGCTTCGAGGTCTTCAGGTCACTATAGATTCCAGAAACTTCCCCGATCAAGCGATGACCACAGTGGGACATATTCTTTACACGTATGCTTCAAGCTTCTGATTTAGATGGAGTGAATGAATGCACAGAAGAATACGAGGACTCATTAACTAGACCACTGAATGATGATATGGCACGCCATTAGCTAGAACATGGAAAGACCAAAC